GAATTCTGGGAGTTGAAGTCCATTCATCTTAAAGTGGCCAAGTTTGGACAACACTGCCATATAGGAATGTTCCTTCCTGTTCAACCAATCCTGTCTCTATGAATATGAGAATGGGATCTTCATGGCTGCGATTCCCCAGTCCCAGTGCTTCCTTCTGAGACAGACCCTGAAATTATGGCCAGCCTAATGTCTTCAGAATATGGGAGAGGTCCTGTTTGGATCATTGTTTCATTCCCTGGGCGTGATTACAGAGAATCTCCTACACGATTAGCATCCTCACAATAACAATTCTGAATGTTTCATTTATATCATCCTCAAGATCCTTGAATCTGCATTCCTCTATCCTCTTTGGCCAAGAATCTCTGACTCATAGAACCTCTTGGCCATTTCATTGCTGCCCAGGCTGTGAGTCAAATCTGCTCCGCCACTAACCCTCACTCTGCTCCCGGGAGGCCAATTTAAAAACCAGCCAAGAAAGAAAGAAACTCACATAGAGTGCTAAAAGAAGGGGGACATTTGTTTGCCAAACTGCTCCCATATTCTGTTATTATGCTTGAAAAAATTAAGGATGATAACACCGTCATTTTTTAGCTTCCTTAAGGAGGACCCTTAGGGCTCTGTAGTAGCTTTCCGGGCCCTATGGAAACCCATGGAATAAACCCATGTTCTCTAGCCTTGCCCTCAAGATTTAGAGGGCCTCCAGCCAACCCAACCCACAATATTCACAGATTCAGTAATGTGTTTCAAAGATTATCCTGTATATTGTACGTACAACTATAAATAATTAAACCCTCCTGCTAATTGAGAACACACACAGTCCTTTCCTGATATTCTGCAAGATGCACTGTCAGGTAACTGGGCTAGCAGATGTAACCTTATCCTCCCCTCCATCCCAATGCATGATTTCCCTAACCCTAACCCTAACCCCAACCCTAACTCTAGGTAGAGAGTGAAGAACTAGCTAGCTGTGGCATGCAACTAAAGGACTAATGTGAAACTGGGAGCTGTCCATGGTATTGCATAAACTGAGGATAAAACAGTCTTACTGTACTAGGAAATTGCAGTCTCCTGGAATGACAATTCCCTAGGATGCCCAAGCGTGGGAATGGTGTCCTCCAGGGAAGGAGGTGAAGCCCTGTTTCACATTCAGAACTGCTCCATCCTGGGGCCTTTTAGATGTTGCATTTCTACGCTCAGCGTCCCCAGCAAAGTTAGAGATGCCTCATAATAAGCAATACGAAATCCATCAGCCTCTTTGGTGAGCAGTTAACCACCCTAAATTGTGTTGTGTGAATTCACACTCCTCTTGCAGTCACTTTTGGGGGGCTGGAAGCTGTTTAAGTGCAGATCCTACATTTGTGGAAAATTTATTTCCATCTGGGAGACTTCTAGCAGGAAGTACCCTTGTCATATTCCCAAACCTGTCTGCCCCAAGATATGAGGACAACAGGATTCTCTTGAGCCAGAAGAGCTACACCTATGTTCCCTGCAACTGTGAAAGCTTTGGAACAGGTTACAAAGTTGATCTGTGTGCAAGTTGACATATTGTGTGTGCAGGTGCAAGGACACACACCCCTGGCTTTTGTGTTAAACTAGGGATGGATAACCTTCAGTGGCTGGAGAGTTCTTTACAAAACACCAGAGATTTTCAGCAGCAGTGATTAGAGGGAGTCTAAAAGCTGCAAAACAGGGGCCCTGGGGTCACATGCAACCCTCGGATCCCAGATTGCTCAACCTTGAACTAAAAATTGGACTCAGGGGGCAGCTATCTAAAGCAATCAGCTGGTGGGGAAAGGATGGGATACATTAACTGTAATGGTATGTGGGAATGACCTCGAGAGACACCACCTAGGGAATGGTCAGATAAGAGACAGCATAGTCTGCAGCTGGAGAGTGGGCAGGGCAAGAGGCTCAGAAGAGACCCTCCCTAATTTCTCAGGAGTAAAGGAGACGGGAGAATTGTATTTTCAGACTTGCAAGATTCTGTTAATGTAGCCTTACAATAAAGTAGAATTAGCTCATTTGGTTGTATTTCCTGTCTAGTCCATCTGGAAGGGCTGACATTAATCCCTCCCCTAGTCCATTAAGATTTTGGTGTCAATGGGATTCTCCTCTGGTTGTAAATAGCGGGCATGTGAGAATTCAGTTGTGGCTTTCCCATCCCACATGTCGTATGCAACAAGTCATTTATTTTGGCTTTTGCACAGAATAGCTACCAGTGAGGGCAGCTGCAGCTGCACAAGCTCTTGGGTTACTTGATAGACACCTAGACACCCCCTCTCCCCCCCTTTTTTTCCTTCTTTCATCTGAGTGGGAGATGTTCAGAGACATTTTAATGAAGGACTCAGGAACAGGAAATGGAACATCAACCTGCAGTTACGAATGGAGGAAGAGCAGTGTTTTCAAGGCACCTGAGCCAAGGCCCAAGATGCAGTTTCCCCCTTCCTTATGATTGGGGTTTCAGTCTCCAAGGCCATGCATAGTCAGTGAATCTGATTGTAGGCACAGAAGATCATTATTACTTTCAGTTTCATTTAAAAAGAGAGAGCGAATTCACGCAGAGTATGGCTTCTGGAATTCTTATCAATTCCTTTGCCAGCAGTGGCCATAGGAGTCTGTATTTTCTTCAGTGTAATGAAGTAATATGTTGTGTGTGTGTGTGTGTGTGAGAGAGAGAGAGAGAGAGAGAGAGAGAGAGAGAGATTCATCCCAATGTCTAATCAAGGAATGTGCATATATGTTGTATGTATGTGCATGGGTCTATCTGTGTTGGTCTAATCAGGACTGATGCTTATGGGTTACTTCTGTATTTTGGTTCTCCCTTCATACTGCAACCGTGCATTTATGTGTGTGCTTAAAAGCACACAGTGGCTGCATATACTCTGCTCTGGGTCCTGTGTCCAGGAAGGAAGCAAGCTTACAGAGGAGCAGTTAGCAACACTCCAAGACACAGCCCAATTGCCTCTCCCTTGGGCAATACCTTAGGGAGTTTTTTTCTGGATATTTTTTCCAAACCTGGCAGGATCTAACCCATTTTTTAAACTCAGTCTTGTTTTGCTTCTCCTCTCACACCAAATTTGGTCCTATTCTGTTCCTTTTGAGAGGGTTAGTCTGCTGGCGGGCAGAGAAACCACTTCTCTTTGCATAATTTGCTTTGCAACATTTTGCTGGGTAAGAAAGAATAACCACCTGAGCCCCCCAAATATAAAACCACTAGCAGACTTCTAGCCCTTATGAAGGAAAACTTGAAAGGCCCATCAAAAATAAAATCTCGGAAGCAGAAGGACAATAGTTCCACTTTCCTGGAAGCAAGACCTTACCAACTTTGCGTAATGTTTTAACTTACATACTACAGAACCACTATTTATGGAATCCAGCATTTCCTGAACCAATTCGGGTTATGTTGATGTGAGCTTTTTGCAGTCCCTGCTTCCCCCCCCCCCCTCCCCGGCCACCTCTGCAGAGTTTATATACGCTGCACTATTACAGACAGCTGTGCAGTTTTGCGGAGAGTTATTGACACACGTTTTCTTCTTCTTCTTCACAGAGGATATAATGTAGAAGAGGCAGGAGGCCCCCTTTCACTGGTACCTGGACTGGACTCTCATCCTTCGCTCCTCATCTCCTCATGGCCTTTCTTTTGCGGCTGCCAACTGGGGGAAAACCCCGTCCCGCTCCACGGTCTCAGAATTCTCCAACCTCACCTGCGTGCCGTTTCCAGAGACATGGTCATCCCTCACGATTTGCCAGCTTTGACTCGTATTCCCTCTGCTGATTGGCTGCTGATGGAGGGAAGGCGGGCCAAGAAACTCTTCCCCAGCCTGCATTTACTGCTTCTAGGGAGAGGAAACATGCACATTCCAACTGTATGTTTAAAAAGGAATGACGTCCCTGGAATTTTTAATACTTCCTTTTCAAGATTTCCTCCTTTCTGGGAGAAGCCTCCAGCAGGGTCTTCAAGGCCGTTCTTCCCACGATGTTGCTGCTGCCACCGCTGCCGCCGCCACTGCCGCCACAAACTACTAGGGCACCTCCTTGCCCCACCTCTCCTCATTTTTAACTTTTTGGCCCCTTTGCTCATCCCTGCAGCCGTTCAGTACCATGCAGTGCCCAAGGCTGGCCCATTTGATACTTTTATGTGTAAATGAAATTGTCTCTGAACAGGGTAAGGTGAGCCCAGATCCCCTTCCCTTGGGGGATTTCAGCCACCAGAACTTTGCATTTTCCACTCATTCTGCCCAGGTAACGCAGCCGCACCTTGAAATCGACAAAAAGGGGAATAGGGAAAGGTCTGGTCAGCTGGTTTTTCTCTGCTCACTGTGGGGATCTCTCCAATCTCAACCTGCAAGATGAGTCCTTGAACACTGAATGTAATTCTTGGCTAGAACCCCCCCGTACCAGCCAGTAAGCAAAGGAGCCAAAGATTGGGCCAAGGTGAGGGATGTCACCTGTTGGCATCTGGCTGTCCACGGCGGCAGCTCAGATGTGAGGCTCATGCCAAATGCTATTTTCTCTCAAACATGTGGTGCTTCATCCCTCTGAGTAAAAGCAACATTGGGACTCGGGGAACCATGAGTGACGAGAGGAAACAGGGCACGCTACGATGCCAGCTATGCCTCTGTTGTGGGCTGAGTGTTCAGAGAGACAAAGGTTAGCTAAGGAAGTGACTCCCCCACCCCAAAATCCAGCCACCACCCACTTTCACACTCCCAACAACATCATTTAAGAACTAGGACAGAATTGTGCTGTCCTAAATGTCTCAATAGTTATGCCTCCCTCCAGGCAGCAGCGTAGCAGCTAATCCCTCACAATTTGAGCTGAATTCTGAGATAGTTCCACAGAAGTAGCCATTTTGTCCCAGATTAATGGAACAAGGGTTCCCTCAAAACTAGGCCTCAGGCCACTTATCAGAAATTTCCAGACTAGGAAAATGATCCAAGTTGGAGTTATAGAAACACATGTCATTTTAGCCCATCAAACCCCTCTTTCTCACACTTCCCATCAGCATATAATGTATTGATACTATAAAGATATTATGACCATGAAACAAGCAATAGCAACCTTGACAGTCCCAAGAACACCTTTTTTCACAGCTAAGACAACTAAGGGCCTGCAGAGTACCAAAAGCTCCAGAGGCAGGTAGCTAGAAGGCAGAGAGGAGAAAGGGAGAAGGAGTGTGGATCACAAAACAGAAAGGCAGATGGGAATGCAGCGATGAGCTAAGAATTTCTGGTGCCTGAGGCATAACCCTAACGACATGACATCCCCATGGCTGTCAAAATATCAGTCACGTAGCTGAGCATTTGGTCTCCTTAAAGGTCTCCAACTTTCGGCTGTTTTGGTGGGTTGGCTGGCCCTCTTAATGGCAGAAGTGACACGGAGCAAGTGGAATGAAGGTCCCAGTTAAGAAGCATGCTTAGAACGTGGTTGTACAAGGGTAAAGAGCACAAAGGAACCCATGAGATTGGGGGGGGGAAGTGTGTGCAGGGGGGAACATGTATCATTACAGATTTTGAAGGCACAAAAAGCAACAGAAATCTGTGGCCACATCTCCCACTATTTAATAGCAAGATGAGTGTGTGTGTGTGGGGGGGGGATTTGAATAAGGATGGTGGCATCTGAAGGGGGTTGATCTTGATGAGTTCTCTCCCAAGTTGCTACTTTTTTTCCTGCAGGAAGAAAAGTTCCCTTTCACAGGGTAAATAACTTCAGGGAAGTGGTTTTCATCAGGGAAAAGACACTGGATAAAAAGTTATATCCCTGCCTCTCCACCCAGCATTACGTTCATGACTGGATTCACACAAAAAGTTGCTTTTAACTGTTAAAAACAGCAATTAAGAGCATGTCTAGCTTTACCCTGCGGGTAAAACAGTAAAGTGTGACAAACCGTAACCAATGGAGGAGGCCTACAGCCATGATTGTAGCATGGTCATATTGTTGTTTTTGCCAGAGCATAACACTACAAGGCTACCAAGAAGCTGCCAAGTAACCTAAGAATGCTGGTACTTGAGAACCAGCCATCAAGTACAGTATTGTGACGTAACTCAGATATTCCAAGGGAATTAGCAGGTTCATCGAGGTACTGAAAGGTGTTTTTATGGAGTATGCCTTCCTCTCCAAACCCCCAGCCAAATTCCAAGATGAGGGGAAAGACAAGCAAGCAACAGAGAAAACGTGGGAAGTCCATTCAAAGGTCATTCATTCAGAGTTAACTGGCCAAAGGCCAGTAAATGCAATGTGGTTCGTAGAGCAGAAGCCCAGGGCTCCATTCAACTGGATTAATTGGTGGGCTCCCACACATAGCTGTGCCAGCTTACCACATTTCTAAATCTAATGTCGTACACATTGCCATTCAACCCAGCTCCTGCCATAAAAGCATCAAGTCCAGGACCTCAAGTTATCTAGCTGCACAGGCCTCAGTTCTCCTTGACATAAGGGAGTCATTGCCAAGAGAAAAAACATTTAAATAAACCAGATTAAAGGCTTTTCTGCCTTGCGGCCCCAGACACGCATATTCTATTGTATTCACAGATCTCAGCTCCCACTTTCTTGTTATTTATTCTAGGGGGGAAAAAAACCTTAGTAAAGGGTTTAGCAGTTGGGAACAATGAAGCAGCTTTAGTCGGCAACTCCACAAGCTGCAGGGCTATTTAGCATAGTGTGAGCCATCAGAAAAAGATTATCCTGCACTGGGGGCTTGGGGGGTGGAGGGAGAAAAGGCAAAGGCATATTCTGCAGCATGTGCCAGAGAAACGGAATTGCTGTTAATGGGAATGGCTAGACAGGTGGAGAAAGGAAATACAGTAGCTGTAATATATATCTGTATTTTAGTCCCCCCCCCCCCAAAAAAAAGAGTTTGATACAGTGTTTCACAAAAATTTAACCGGAAAACATAAAATTCAAGTTGGATTGGATTGGACCAGAACCTGATCAGACCAAGATCATTTTGCCTTGTCATCTGGGAGTGGAAAACCTTGATACCTATTGCGGGCTGAGCAGCTGGATTTGGGAGGGTATGAGAGGATGCAAATGCACGTGTATGCACATCTTAAGAGACTGCAAGTGGCATAAAGATGAATAGTGAATGCTGATCAAATCTGCAAATGACCCAACGTTGAGCGGAATGATTAGTACTCCAATCTTTATCGAGAAATGGTTTGAAAATAACAGAAATAAATTTAACACAGACATGTGCAGAGTCCTTAGGAAACAAAAATCAAATCCACAGACACAGAATGGGAGATGCCAGGCTTAATAATGATACTTGTGAAAAAAATCTTGGAAATAGCAGTCGATGTGGTGATATGAGCCAACAGTGTGTTGTGGTTGCATAAAGCAATTTCAGATTACATCAACAATGGCATAATGTCCAAATCATGGGGAGTAATTGTTACAGTTTATTCTGCTTTAGTGAGACCTCTTCTTGACTCCTGTGTTCACTTCTGGGCATTGTACTTTATGAAAGTTTCTTAGTAATTGGAACAGGTTCAGGGAAGAGAAATTAATATAATGAGAGGCAAAGCAAAGCAAAGTCATCGAAAGGGAGAGATTGAGGGACCTGGGTATGTTGCCTTGAACAAAGATGGCTGGGGGGATATGAGAGCTTTAAGCATCTGAAAGGAGGTTGCACAGAAGAAGGCTGGGATCTGTTCTTCAGAGTGCAAAGCACAGATGGATGGAGTTAAGTTTTTTTTTGTAATATTTTTTTTAAAAAAAGAACAATAAAAACTAACAAAAACTAATATTAAGAAAAAGAAGAAAAAGGAAATTAGAAAAAAAGTAAAGATCAAGAGTGCAGAAAAAAAGAAATTAAAAAAAGAAGGATTGGCTTCCGACCTTCCTTGCAACAGACATAAGTAACAGTATTCATTAGACTCTTTGCTCTAAATTAACAACATAGCTTCCATTATTTCTATTAACCCATATTATTTCTAATCATCAAATCCATACGACATAATTTCATTTTTTTCCATTTCCCTCAAAAAGTCCAAAAAGGGCTTCTAGTTAGCATTAAAATGACACAATGTCTTATCACAAATCAAAGCCGTCAATTTTGCCATCTCAGCCAACTCCATCATCTTCACCATCCATTTTTCCATTGTAGGTAATATCTTTCCACCTTTGCGCACATAAAAGCCTTGCTGCTGTTATCATATATAAAAACGAAGTTCCATTAGTTTTTTCCAACTGTTTATCCATCAAGCCCAAAAGAAAAGTCTCTGGTTTTGATTGTTAATTTTTAAAATCTTCAGTATGCAAATATGTATCTTATTCCATTTTCCTTTTACAAGTCCACCAGAGATGATAGAATGTCCTTCTCGTTCACATTTCCAACACACATTCAAAGTACCTTTATCCATTTTAGATAATTTTCTGGTGACAAGTACCAATGATACATCATTTTATAAAAGTTCTTGTTAAGGTTATAACACAATGTAAATTTCAATCCTTTCTGACACATATTTTCCCATTGTTCCATCTGTATTTTGTAGCCAAAGTTTTTAGCCCATTTTATTATACAGTCCTTAACTTGTTCATCATCTTCTGTCTCTAGTTCCAGTAAAAGTTTATACATCTTTGCAATGACATGGTCATCATTAGTACATACTTCTGCTTCAAATTCAGTCTTACCATATTCAAAACCATAAGTCTTTTTATCCATTTTAAATCTTTCTTGTAATTGTAGATAAGAAAACCACTGACACATGTATCCTTCTGATATCAATTCCTCTCGTCTTTAATTTTAAGTCCCTTTGAGAAAATTCCCATACGTCACCATAAGTTAACCACTTATGTTTAGTCATCATTTCTCTTCTGTAAAAAGCTTCTTGTGGTGACAACCATAAAGGAAACTTTGGAGACAACCTAGATTTATATCTGTTCCATATTCTCAGTATGGCAGGTCTAATAAAATGATTTTTAAAATCTACATTAACTTTATTGGACCATAAATAGTTGTGCCACCCAAATCTTAGGCCATGCCCCTCTAGTTCCAGTAACCTCCCATTTCTCAAAGTTACCCACTCTTTCATCCAAACCAGACAACAAGCTGCAAAATACAACTTCAGATCTGGGAGACCTAAACCTCTTTCTTTAGCATCTTGTAAAACTTTGTGCTTGTGGTTTTTTTGCCTTGCCACACAAACTTTGATGTTTTTATGTAATTGTTTAAATGGAACATCAGTTATCATAACAGATATTATTTGAAACAAAAATAATATTTTGGGTAAAACATTCATCTTAATTACAGAAATTCTTCCCAGCAATGACAACTGTCATTTTTCCTATCTTAACGTATCTTTTTTAATTCCATTCCAAGTCTTAACAAAATTATTTTGAAACAACATACAACTGCTATTTGTCAAATTCACTCCCAAATATTTAACTTTTTTTTCAATCTTAGAACCCATTTTGTTCATCGAT